TCCACAGCATTACTCAGAAAGTTTGTCAAGAAAGTTGAGTCCGTGGTATTTAATTGAAACAATGTATTAATTCATCATATTCCAGTCTAACTTGTAATTATAATTATAATTACAATAATTATTATTTATAATTATTATTTTTCCTTAAACTTCGGAAATTTCGCATAAAGAGAAAAAGTGAAAAAAACCTGGTATTATAAAAGGAATAATAATAATTATAGGCTTTATCGGAGTTTGCAAATGAGGTGGATCCATCACTGATTCGAATAACAGAAATTATTGGAAGTGGTGAATTTGGTGAAGTATGTAAAGGCGTGCTTCAGTCTAATGTTCGCTTAAATGCCTATGATCTTCCTGAGGTAAAGGCTTAAAATTATGAAACAGGACATAGGAAAATTTTTTAATATTTAATTCGTTTTAATTTTCAATTTTTCAATTTTTTTTAATTTCGGTTTTTTCAAAAGAATATTTTAGGTTCAAACAGTAGCTATTAAAACTCTTAAACCAGGAAGTAGTGATAAAGCCAAAGGAGATTTTTTAATGGAAGCTTCAATTATGGGCCAATTCGATCATGAAAATGTCGTTAAGCTAGTTGGTGTAATAACGAAGAGTGAACCGGTTGCGTTTTCTACTAACTTTGATTATTCTATATTTTAAAATAAATATTATCAAAGCCAGCTGTTTTTTTTAATTTCTTTATATTGTGTTGGATTTAAGAAATATAATTAATTAGTTAAAATGATGGTTAAAAAAAAAAAAAAAAAACAAAATATAGCGCATTAATATTTCAATTTTCTAGGTGATGATCGTAACCGAATATTTGGAAAATGGTTCGCTTGATCAGTTTCTTCGTAAGCATGATGATGGTCTTATCGGTGTTTTACAGACTATTAATATGCTAAGGGATATAAGCGCTGGTATGAAATATCTCACCGAAAAAGGTTACGTTCATCGAGTAAGCTTATTTATTTGGATTTGGATTTTTTATAAAATAAATAAAAAAAAAATTTTATCACAAAAAAATTTTAAAATTTTATTCTCACACGGCTAAATTATTTTCGGCATAGTTATTGTTTTTCGAAATTTTCATTTTCATAACTTTATCATTTAATTTCAAGTTGAATTTTTAATTTATTTTGATAGGATCTGGCTGCTCGAAATATTCTCTTAAATGCGCAATGTCGTTGTAAAATTGCCGATTTTGGTCTAAGTCGCGGCTTAGAAGGTTCTATTGAACAAGAATATACTACAAATGGCGGCAAGATACCCGTCAGATGGACGGCGCCTGAGGCAATAACTCATCGGAAATTCACCGCAGCGTCGGATGTTTGGAGTTTTGGCGTCGTAATGTGGGAGGTAGCTTTTTTATCACTTATAGATGTGGAGTTATGAACAAAATGAACAAGGAGAATGAACCTGTTATTAGAAATAAAACACGGGTATTGCTGGAATCCACCTATACTTTAAATTTCAAATGACGCTGTGATAAAGGAATCTTATTCAAACAGTTGGGCCTGTGGTACTTGGTCTTAATGGGATCAATTGATTGCCTTAATTGATTTTTCGCATTTATTTATATTTTTATATATATTCTTTCTTTTTTTTATTTTTTTGCTATATTTGATATATTCCATTCGTAGTCCTTTATATTTCCTGGAAATTTCTTTAACTCTACTTTTCTTAATATTACTATAATACTCCTTAAACCCAATTATATTCCACTAATTCCTTTGAAATCTTAAATTTCTTTGAAATCTTAAAAAACCTTAATTTTCCTTCAACCCTCGTTTTCTTCTCTTAAAATTTAATCAACTCATTGCAATCATCTTACTAATAAAATTGCAAATTAGCCTTCAATTTCTAATCCTTCTTTTCTTTTGTTCTCTTTTGTTATTTTAATAATCTACAACCATTAATTCATTTATGCTTCCTTCTTCTATTTGTGTATTATGGCTATTTTTTAAATATTAGAATATATAATCAATTCTTTAATTTTTCAAGGTTTGTTCTTTTGGTGAACGACCTTATTGGGAATGGACAAATCAGAAAGTTATCAGTGAAGTAACACTAGGATACCGATTGCCACCTCCAATGGACACTCCAGTGACTCTTCATAATTTAATGCTTCGATGTTGGCATATTGATCGACACAAAAGGCCAACATTTGCTCAAATTTTGCAAATTCTCGAAGAATATATTCGTCATCCGGATTTAATCTATATAACCGAATCAATTCATAATGGGATAAATAATTCGGAAATGTAAGTTTTTTTTTTTTCACAAGTTGCAATTATTTTCCTCTTATCTTTAATTAATTATGTTCATTTTTTTGGTAATTTTATTTTTCATCAAAATTTTTTGATGAAATAAATTTTTTTAAAAAATTATTTATATTATTTATATATTTCTGAAATATCATTTTATTATCTTACTATTTTCGAAATTTTCCAGCTGTTCATTCAATTCTTCAATGTATTCGTCTACATCAGCAACTTTATTAAGAAATGGAATTCCTACATTGCCGACTATTGTATCGCCTACAGCATCACTTGATGAATTTTTGAGACATATTGGTCTCACCCATTGTTTGGCTAAATTTTATAAAAT